GAAAAAAGGAACAAAAAACAAAGAAATTTCATGATCTATAATATAATATAAACTTTGGAAGTACATATGGGATTTTTTATATCAATTTTTGTAAAAATGGCGCACTTTTTGAGTAAATTAATCGATTTTTTACCAAAAAATAAACAGTAAATTGTTTATAAAAAATTAAGTTTACATCCATCCAATTAAAAAATCCATATGTACTTTCAAAGTTTATAGTTCATAGTTTATAAAATTTCGTTGCTTTTTGTTCTAGGACTTAAACTTTTCAAAAAAACGTTTCCAGCCATAAAATAATAGTCGATTTTGAATATGAAATTTACCGCCGTCATTTTGATACATAATTTAAAAAAAAACATTTTTTTCCACACTTCAATATGTAAATTTAATAAACCCTCTAAAAAACCCTATTCCATTTTTGAGTTTCTAAAAACAAATCATCAATAATAGGTCCCTTTTTCTGAATCTATAGAGTGGTGTTACCCTTTAAAAATTGTATTACAACATTTGTTATTATTGTTTAAAATATGAACAAACTCTTACAGCATTGAATATCCCAGGATATTCTGAAAACATCCAGTGGACTTCCTACACGGAAAAAATAAATTTAGCAGATTTTACAAAATTGTTACGGATTAGTGGATACAGCTTATATTACGAAACTGAGTTTTGTAAAATTTAAGGAATATTTCAGGATTAAACTTTAAAACTATTCAGTATAAACTACGAAAGTTCTGTACTTTATCCTAAAATATTCCTTACATTTTACAAAACTCAGTTTCGTAATAAGTTGTTTCCGCTACTCCGTAACAGTTTTGTAAAATCTGCTAAATTTATTCTTTCCATGTAGGGATATCCAAAAGAGTTGTGGTGATATCTAAGGATATCTATAAAATAAGTTTTAAAAATAAAATAATTATATAAATTAAATAAATCTATTGAGGATGTTTTTAACCCTTTAAGGACCAAATGTACAAAAATGTTATCCGAAATTTGGGAGCAATTTTTAGTATGAAAACGGATTGCTGAAAATTTTGCAATAGACATTTCTTAAAGCTCAGGAACCGCTCTTTCGAATGCTGCAATAACAAATATTGAAAATTTATAAATAAACAAATTACATACAGTTATTTAAAAAAAAAACACAATTTTTTAAAGATTTTTTTTTTGAAAATCAAATTTTTTTATTATTTATGGCGAAGGAATACGTCTCAAAGGTAAAAATATCGCGTCAAAAATGTCGTAAAATAAAAATTTGAAAAAAACAAAATGGCGTTCAAAGTCGGCTTTTTAATAAATAATATACAGCAAGTGCACATGTTTTTAAAAACCTCACAGATTCGCTTGAAACTGGTTACTCGGGGGTTTTTGGGGTCGCTGATTACAAATATGATAATAGTTTTTAAAAATTCAAAATGGCGAATCCAATATGGCGGACACTTTTTTCAAAATTTCATCGGATTCGCTTGAAACTGGTTACTCGGGGGTTCTTGGGGTCTCTAATTACGAATATGATAGTAGTTTTTAAAAATTCAAAATGGCGAATCCAATATGGCGGACACTTTTCAAAACTTCACCGGATTCGCTTGAAACTGGTTACTCGGGGGTTCTTGGGGTCTCTAATTACGAATATGATAGTAGTTTTCAAAAATTCAAAATGGCGAATCCAATATGGCGGACACTTTTCAAAACTTCACCGGATTCGCTTAAAACTGGTTACTCGGGGGTTTTTGGGGTCGCTGATTACGAATATGATAATAGTTTTATAAAATTCAAAATGGCGCATCCAATATGGCGGACACTTTTTTCAAAATTTCATCAGATTCGCTTGAAACTGATTACTCGGGGGTTCTTGGGGTCTCTAATTACGAATATGATAGTAGTTTTAAAAAATTCAAAATGGCTAATTCAATATGGCGGACACTTTTCAAAACTTCACCGGATTCGCTTAAAACTGGTTACTCGGGGGTTTTTGGGGTCGCTGATTACGAATATGATAATAGTTTTTTAAAATTCAAAATGGCGAATCCAATATGGCGGACATTTTTTTCAAAATTTCGTCGGATTCGCTTGAAACTGGTTACTCGGGGGTTCTTGGGGTCTCTAATTACGAATATGATAGTAGTTTTCAAAAATTCAAAATGGCTAATTCAATATGGCGGATACTTTTTCTAAAAGTTCATCGGATGCACTTGAAACTGATTAGGATGGGTTCTTGGGGTCTCTGATTATGAATATGATAGTAGTTTTAAAAAAATAAAAATTTCAGAGCATGTACATTATTCAGGTTAGAAATTATTAAAATTTAAACCGTTTTTGCTTTCAAATAATTTGTGTAAAATATAATAGTAATATTAAACTTAATAATAATAATACTAATCATAACTATTTCTTTGTTATAATAATAATACTAATAGGAACTGTTCTTTGTTATTATCGAGTTTTGTCTGTCTTTGAAGCCTCATAAATAAAGATTAATTATGTTTAAGGGGCAAATTTTCTCGAGTGTACCAAAGTTAAAATTGCAAGTTGTTGGATCGGGCTAATATTTTCACAGTATTTAGTAATATGTATGACTAATTAACTACCACGTAATATACACCTATATTTTTTTGGTATAATATTTTTTTTGATTTTTCTTTCAAGAAGGATCCTTTTTTTCTTTTTCTTGTACCAAAAGAAAGCTTAAGATGTGTACTATCAATGTCTAAAACGAAAAAAAACGTTTTTTTTTCGAATTATTAATTAATTAATTAATAAAAATAGAAATATTTTACAACAAAATAAAGTTAACGCAATTCTGCACGGAGAGAAAAAACAAGGCTTTTCCCCATGAAAAAATATGCATTTAACGCGTGAAAATTATCACAGTAAAAATGCAGGACGCTCACGGGTTTTCCCGGTGAGATTCTTGCAACGAGCTAAGGCCAATAGGGGCTAAGGCATGGAATCTGATGAAGTTTTAGAAAAAGTATCCGCCATATTGAATCGCTATTTAAAATTTTTGAAAACTACTATCATATTCGTAATTAGAGATCCCAAGAACACCCGAGTAATTAGTTTCAAGTGAATCCGATGAAGTTTTTAAAAAAAGTATCCGTCATATTGAATTCGCCATTTTGAATTTTGAAAAACTATTATCATATTTGTAATCAGCGACCCCAAAAACCCCCGAGTAACCAGTTTCAAGCGAATCTGTGAGGATTTTAAAAAAATGTGCACTTGCTGTATATTATTTATTAAAAAGCCGACTTTGAACGCCATTTTTGATCCACCATTTTGTTTTTTTCAAATTTTTATTTTACAACATTTTTGGTTAGACATTTTTGACGCGATATTTTTACCTTTGAGACGTATTCCTTCGCCATAAATAATAAAAAAATTAGATTTTCAAAAAAAAATCTTTAAAAAATTGTGTTTTTTTTAAATAACTGTATGTAATTTGTTTATTTATAAATTTTCAATATTTGTTATTGCAGCATTCGAAAGAGCGGTTCCTGAGCTTTAAGAAATGTCTATTGCAAAATTTTTAGCAATCCGTTTTTATACCAAAAATTGCTCCCAAAGTTCGGATACAATTTTTGTACATTTGGTCCTTAAAGGGTTAAGCTTAAGATGTCCTGGTAATAACCCAAAAATATTCTACAAAGCCGTGATTCAGATATCCTATTGGCGTTTTTTTTTTATATTTTGCATTAGTTCAGGATATTCTGGGGATATTCTTTCTTTGTGAAGGAAATACATTACTATTAATTTATCAATCTTAAGGAAAAAGAGAAATGTTTTGTCATTCTTCAGACAAATATCTAGATAAACGTTTTATTCATTTAGGATGTGAAAAAACAAACGTTGCGACATCAACATTAGTGTCTTCTTTAGTATTACATTAAAAAATATGTAATATTAATGTTAAAATTAAGTTTTCTAAAAAAACACGAGTACCCAAAAACATTATTGTAACTATAAATAGAACATGTTTTTTATATTAATATTTACTTGCACAGGAAATTTTTTTTTTAAATTCAATTGAATTTTAGTATATTATCTACTAAGTACTACATTAAAGAGGACCTTAACGCTGATGTCGAAACATCTGTTTTTTCATAAATGAATAAAACATTTATTTAAATATACTTCAATACTGGATGAACATATAATTCTAGATATAGAAATATATCATTTTAAAATTACTCCAAAACGTTCAGAAAATTTCTGCGGTTATTTGCTTGATTTTTAAAAATTATTACCCAGTTGAAAAATTTTGAATATTTTAAAATTTTTTCACAGTTCTTTTAACCAGTTTTCATAAAGTGTGAACTTTTTGAAAAAACGTGTTTATGTTTTTTTGGAAAATTTAAATTGTAACAGAAAATAATAAAAAAAGTTAAGAAATGTAAAAGAACTAGTAATAATTTTTCGCTTGTTGAATTTGAAATAAAATGCTGGGAGTAATTTACAAATAATTGAAGAAATGTATTAAAAAAATGATGTTAGTGTTATATTTTTAGAAAAACAATGAGTAAAGTATATGCTTTAAAACGGATATATTAACTAATTTTCTGGAAGTTTGCTGTTAAAAATTAGAAAATGACTTGGCAGTCTTGAAATTGCATTATTAGGACTCAGGGGCACTACGCCTGCGTTCGCTATATAATATAGATACAGATGTTTCCTCTTGGGTAACAGAAGACCGGCATACTTGGAACACGTGGTTATGCTCCCATGCTTTTAAATAGAATCGGCGCGTGGCGTACATCATACTTTGATAAAAAAAGTACTAAGGCCAACGCAATTAGAAACTTTATTTAAAATGCAGAAAACAATCATTAGATACAATTTAATGATAATGCAGTCCTAATTCATGAGGAAGGTGGCAAAAGTTTCACGATTTTCCATCAGTAACTGTTGCAGAGTTTGTGAAAAAAATGAGGTAAAAATTTCTCTCAAAGCAAGTGCAATTAAAGTTAAAGCAAGAGAAAGACAATTAATAAAAAACACACCTCTTTGCTTTGGCGCCTGCCTGTCTGTTTCTTCCAGGCCAGACTGCTCCCATATAAGCACGTGTCCATTTCTTTCTCGATTTTCCCCGTTAATCCTGACACTATTCATCTCACAATTGCGTTGTGAAAAATACGCGAAAGCACTGTCTCTAAGCAAAAGTTACGTGTTTCGTCTTTCGTTTCACAAAAATTAACTACGACTTTAAAACATTTTATACTTCTTTTTCATCTGCCGCTTCTTTCCAAGTATGTAATAAGTTTGAAAATTTCTCGTATCACACGCAACTACTTCTTATCAATGCAAAGTGACTCACGCTATCTACTGTCATTGAGTCTTTACTCTTAACTTACATCAATCAAAAGAGAGATGGCAAATGAAGACAGACTGAGAAGAGAATACGTACTTCTTCTATAATGTATGCTATTTGTGTTATGTTTCTCTATTCGTATGAAGTTATTATACATGATAAATGTGTGTCTTCTGTAATAGATTACTTTCAACAAATACTGCGAAAAAACTAAGTTTTACATTAATTTAATTCTAATGCAAAAGTACTCAAATAACACGCGCCTCATGCATAAAAATACACTACATAAATCCAAAATGTACTTCTGCACAAGTTCTTCCTTCCTTTTAATAGTGTGCTGTCATCTCTCGGATTCCTATGCAAACCAAGTGACATTTCTGCGTTAATCAAAAATGCACTTTAATTTTTATTATTCAAAATTTCTTTTTCATTAAAATAAAAAAAATAGAAAATATTATAAATCAATGACAAATTTTTTTTTCAAAATAGAACATTTAATTCTTCATAAACTGTTTTAAAATCAAAATAGCTTTTGAGTCCCATTAAGGTGGAAAAATTGTTTCAATTTGAACCTACATTTTTTCCAAGAATCAATCAAGAAAATGGAATAAATCCTAGGTGATATTAAAATTAAAAAAACCAGTTTTAGAAAAGAAAACAACTTCAGTGTTACACTTAGATTTATGCAGCCATCCAGAAAAACTTGACTTTTTTGAAATGATTATTTAAAAACCTTCATAAACTATTATCATAACCAGTATATAGAATATTTAAAAACGCATCGATTGGATCTTCGAAATTATTAATGTTTTAAAAATCAAACACTCTAAGACTTTATTAACACTTCAGACAATTTCAAATTGACATGATATGACATATTTGGTATGATCTAAAGACAACTTTTAGGAAACAAAAAAAGGTTTTAAAAACTCTGAATGATATGCAATTATTAGGCCCAAGGTGCCACGTTACACTTAGATTTATTGTAGCCATCCAAGGCTATTCCCGCAAAATATAAGAAATATATATTAATTATATACTATTCAAATAATTAATTACCAGTAAGACGGGGTTATTTATGTTTTATAAATTCCCTCAACAATCTTTTATTTAATTTTAATTATTTATCATTTTTTTTCTACAGAACAAGAAATCTAAGATTAATAATTGATTTCGTTTAAACGAGTGTTAAACTTTAATTTAACCCTATATTGAAGCTATTTTATTGCTCTATTCATATATAGGAAAATTTCAGAAACATTCATTTCAAAATTTGCGCTGTTTGATCTTCAATAAAAATTGATTTAAACATCAACATTCAATTCAATATCAATTTGCAAATAATGAAAATTATTACATAAGTATGTCTGTTGTGTTGTGAGTTTTAATAATGTAATTATTAAATAAAACAAATAGTACCTACTTATTATTGAGTGCATGCAATCAACTTCTTTCTTCCCTCGTTTTTTAACGATTTTCAACTGTTTGACATTTTTCTTGTGTTTTTCAGTTTTGTTGTTATTTTCCATTTCTGTATTTTGTTTCTTCCTACTTTTCAAATATTAAGCTACTTTTAATATATTTCGGCTATTTTATATAAATCAGTAATGTGATTCAATAAATATAGAAGTAAAACTTCGGATTGATCCACACGGAAGGAATTCTATTTTGACTAAGCGATAAATTTAATAACCACATTAAATAAATAACTAAATAACATTTAGAATGAATGTAATTACTTGTAAAATTTTAAATATGTCAAAATTAATATATGAGTCATAATATAACATTAATGTAAATAATGACATTAACTATAATTATGGCAGACGTATAGTAAACGAATAGCTGCTAAATAGATAGTGTTGACGCTACTATCGACGAAATAAATTTTTTTTACTAAATATACGTATTGTCGTATTTACGATTTTACCTTTCCATGGACACAAGTACCTTAGATATCCAATAATATAATGTATAACTAACTGTCGTACCCGTCTACGACCTGTTATGATTTAAAAAAACCGAAAAAATTTTTAACAATATATATCACAGTGGTTCACAAGTTTCAGTTTATCAATTTCCCTGACAATTTACTAACATTAAAATTATTTTCCCAGACAAAATTCTTTTCACAGGAAAATATAAAAGTTTACAGAAAATGAGTAAAGTTTATGAAAAATAATTATTAAAAATTACCATTATAACCCTTCCTGAATTCAATTACAGGGTTCCTGCAGAATCTGGAAATCATGGAAATGATATGGAATTTTTAAAAGGCTTCTGGAAATCAGGGAAATCATGGAAAAAGCCTGGAATTTTTAAAAGTTTCTAAATTTTTTCTATTTTTCATTTTTTCTCTTGAATAGAAATTCAAATAATAATAAAGCTAAATGGCATAAAAGAGAAGAAAAAATTTGAATTTTAAGAAATTCGATTTTTCGGATTTTTGATAATTTTTGATTTTTTATCAAAGGGTGGAGACTATTTAATAAGTAAAGTATTTTCCAAGAGCAAAAAAATAATTAAGCTAAACCCCATAAAAGAGAAGAAAAAATGTTGAATTTTAAGAAATTCGGTTTTTTGAATTTTTGATAATTTTCGATAATTTCAAATTTTTTACCAAAGAGTCGAGACTATTAAATAAGTAAAGTATTTTTCAAGAGCCCAAAAATAATGAAGATAAATCCCATAAAAGAGAGGAAAAAATGTTGAATTTTAAGAAATTCGGTTTGATTTTGATCTGGAAATCATGGAAAAGGTATAATTTTAAATTCGGATTTCTGTAGGAATCCTGTAATTATTTTTTACAATTTTCAACTACACTTAATTTCTAAATCAATTATTAAAAATAATTCTCCGAAACTTGTTCAAGAATTCAATTATTTTAATACAAAAATTCACTTTTTTATAATAATTGTAACTCTCCATGTTTTATTCTGAAGTTATTAAGGTATAATATGTTCAAAAAATTATAATATAAAAATTCTTAAGTACAATTAATTTTTTAAAAATATTTAAAAATAATTTTTGAAAGATAATAGGTTTTTAATTAATTACAATTGAAAAATTTCCAAACAATTGAAATTTGGTAAAATCTTTTTAAAATATTTGAATTTTTGAAAAATATAAATAAAAATAATCAAATTTTTCAAGAATTTTAATTATAAATACGACCATGATTTCTCCGAAATTTTTATAGGTAATTCTAAGAAAGTAAATTTTTATAAACTTTTAATTACTTTGTTCGAAGATAATTGAATCTTAAAAAAATATCATAAAACAATTCTAAGAATTAGTTTTTAAAAATATTATTATTAATTTTTTTTTGAGTCGTCTGAGAAAAATCTCATTATCTGGCTCAATTCTTAATATTTTTTAATTAAAATTTAGAGAAATATTGTTCAAATGTTGCAATATTATATGCAAAGCGATAAAATAAATTAACTTTTTGCTCTTCCTGCCTTAAAATAATAATTAATAATAAATAAAATAATAAATTAATAATAATAATAATAATAATAATAATAATAATAATAATAATAATAATAATAAATAAATTAATTAATAATATTATTATTAATATTTAATTAATAATTAATAATGTCGTTAGATAATTAATAAATTTATTTATTGTACTTAAATTCATTATTTTTGTCATCACACTGTAAAAAGAAAGCATCTTATTTTAAGATACTTTGGTAGTCACTTTTAAGTTGTTTCCAAAAAGTTATCCAAAGCATCTTAAAATGCATTAATTTCTAAAATAGAATATGGAAAAATAAGATGTTTTAATCGTTTTAAAAGTGATTATAATTTATTTTAAGATGCTTATTTTTGCAGTGCAGAACCTCAAAACAATTGTTTCGAGGTTTTATTATTATTAATCACTAAAGAATAAAATGTTCTAAATTAAAATAAAATACTTTTGTTTTGAGAAGATAAATTGAGAGAATATTAGAAGAGCTTTCTCATGCTATGATATTATACTTTTTTCTGAATATAAGGAAAAAGGTCTATAAGGCCCTATTTCAGCCCTCTTGAAATTTTTATTTAAATTATTAAAAAGTATTTCTCGGCAAGGAAAAAAGTAAATTTTTAATAGTTTTAGGTAATAAGAGAGTTTTTAAACTAAACAAATTAACCCTTAGATAATAAGAAATTTTAAAAAAAGGTCAACAAATATTATGTAAAGAGTTGTTTTAATATTGAATCTGTAACCAGATTTCAAAAATTCAAAATTTCAAGGGGAAGGAATGTGGACCCTCCTCCTTTATTTAATTCCATTGGTTCAACAGGGACCTTGAGTTTATTTAGTTTGAAAACTTCTGTTAATCTACAAAAGAATTTTTACCCAGATAAAATTACTAAAGAAACATATTTATAGAATATTTCTGAGACATTCGATTGTCACTTTCTGTGACGATAGACCATGTCCATTTTACCGTCTTGATGAGAAAGGTTTATTTCATATCCAAATTAATTGCCCTGTGTATTCCAGTTATTGTAGTTGAACTTTTTCTATGAATTGTACATTTGTACTGGAAACCCAAAGACCGTATCTGATTGGTTGGAGTTTTTGTCATCCGGAAACTTTCAAGGTTTTAAGTTTTTTGTTAAATTAATATTCACTGTTTTGTCTAAGGATAGCCCTAATAAATTATTTCAAATAACAAATTTAATTGTTTTTATGGCTGTGACAAAGTTTTTGTTCATCTTCCGCTTGTTACCCAATAAGATGACGTCAATTTTCATATACAAGTTCTCGTATCATATATATTAAAACACTAGAAAGGTACATGAAAATTCAAAAAAATTTTGTTTATTATTTCAATGGAAATAATGTCCATAGAATATCCTGAAATGTCCGTTGCTGTTAAATTTTAATTACATGAAAAAGATAAAAAAGTTAATAAAATAAAATATTTCAATATTTAAAAATTTTATTTTGTTGACTCACGTACCATAGATTGGGTAGAACTCAAGGATTTTTTATAGTTCAGGTTAGTAGTTCATTTAAACTACTATTTAGCAATGAAATTAATAGGAAATGATATTCAATTTTTAAAAATTCTTGAGGAAGTATGTGCAATAATAATGCTATTATAATTTTAACGTTCACTTTTTTTTAAAGATTTCACAATAGAATCATTTTTAACCCATTGACAACAAATGGCACGCAAAGCATTGACATTGTGTTTCTCAAACGAAGGGAATGTAAAAATAGATGATTTTGTAAATTATAAGAAGCTCATTAGAATTTTTATTTCGTAGACTTTCGTAGACTCTCTTTAG